TCAAAATAAAAAAAAAAAGGAAAAACTGCAATGCACAGCACTCACTCAGGCAGCAAGTGCAGCACAAGTAAACAGCATCAGGTAGGAGAGATGGTGGGCACCTTGGGCAGGCAGGAGAGCCTGCTCCATACCTTCCTTTCCTGCCCACACTCCCCGTCTGCCTCCTCAGTGCAACTGGCACCTCAATACCACACTGGCGGTGCTCAATGATGCTGTCTCCCCTGGTGACTAAACTACTGGTGTGTAAATAAATGGACTCTGCAGAGCTTTCTGTAGGGACATCTGGTGGAGGACCACACAAATTGCATCCTCATTTAGCAACCTGTTCCCTCTCAAATGCAGGTACATAACTTAGCACATTCCAAAGATATGCCTAAAACTGGAATTTGAGTTTTCTTGTATTTGACATTTGTTTTATTCATGCCAGCAAGGCATTTACTGTACAACCATATTATTCTCCAATGTTCACTCTTATGGAACATGTTTTTTAAAGGTCACCCTCTTTTCTCCACAAAAACAACTAAAAATGTGTTGGGATAATAAATTGTGTTAATTATATGCTGCTAAAGCCTGTGTTAAACACTTAGAAGTGAGTAAATTCTATTTATTGACCAATTATTCAAATTGCCCACTGATTTGGTTGTGATGGAAAACTGTGCAGACTAGTGAGAACAGAGATGTACCTCAAAACAACTAGTGCTGAGCTGAGGACCACACACCCACACTGTACGTGTTTAAGAGGAAAACCTTTCAGGCCAGCTGGTCCCACAGACTGAATGTCCCTTTGTGGGTAGGCCCATGTGTTGCCTGGTCTAGTTGAGAGGTGGTGTCCCTGCCCATGACAGGGAGGTTGGATTAAATGATCTCTAAGGTTCCTTCCAACCTAGGCCATTCTATGATTCTGTTAATATCTTGACTTGAGAATCAGGGCTTTGATTTGCAACTGCAACATACCTATAACACCAACAGGTTCAGTGGGACCCATGAGTAGCAGACAGGATCAACAATGTGCAGATGTCTCTCAGTGTGAAATGTTTCACAAATGGTAGGAATGCTTTCTCCCATTGCAGGAAGAAGGGGGATGTCTGGGATCAGCCCTGACACAGTGCTCCCTGTTTTATCAACTCCTTCAGCATATCCAGTTGTAGCAGTCTCCCCATGATACTTCCTTGGTGCTTCCGTGGAAGGAGATAACTCATTTCACAGAATCACAGAATCATCGGTGTTGGAAGGAAACTCTAGAGATCATCCAGTCCAACCCCTCCGCTAAAACAGAATGGCCTAGAGCTCATTACACAGGAACACATCCAGGCAGCTTTTGAATGTCTCCAGAGATGGAGACTCCACAACTCCCTGGGCAGCCTGTGCCAGTGCTCTGTCACCCTCACAGTGAAAAAGCTTTTCCTAACATTTAAATGAAACTTCCTGTGTTAAAGCTTTTGCTCATTGTCCCTTGTCCTGTCACTGGACACTACTGAAAATAGTCTAGCTCCATCCTCCTTACACCCACCCTTTAGATATTTATAGACATTGATAAGGTCTCGTCTCAGTCTTCTCTTTGCCAGGCTAAATAGTCCCAACTCTCTCAACCTTTCCTCATAGAAGAAATGCTCCAGTCCCCCAGTCATCTTCACTGCCCTCCTGCTGGACTCTCCAGCAGTTCCCTGTCTCTCTCTTGACCTAGGAAGCCCAGAGCTGGACACAGTTGTCTAGATGCTGCCTCATCAGGGCAGAGGCAGAGAGGGAGGATGACCTCTCTTGACCTACTGGACACACTCTTCTTAATGCAGCCCAGGATGCTATTGGCCTTCTTGGCCACAAGGGCACATTGCTGGCTCATGGTTAACTAATTGTCCACCAGGACTCCAAGATCCTTCTCCTCAGGACTGCAATTAAAGACAGTTATTTAAAATTAATTTAAAATTTAAAGAATTTGGATTTATCCCACTGGACTGCACAGGAAAATTAAACTGTAAGCTTCCTCTAGAGTTCCCTTTTTAATCTTTTTCTAGAAAACAAGTATTAAAATATTCCAGAAGAAATACAATGCAAAGGACAAAACATTCATATGAATGTCTCAACATCACAGGAAAAGTATGTAATAAATATAATAAAATAATTATAAAATAATAATTTATGAAAGACAGCTCACATTTACAGCTCTGTACTGTGCTACCATGGGGCTGCAGCAGTATCACACTGCATTGCTTCTCACTGTTTTTGAGTGAGCTATTGCTGACTGCACTGACAGTTCACAGTGCTCAGTCGATGTCTTTTATAATCACATCCCCATTCCCGAGCCTGCTGTCATCCCTCTGTGAAAATTCTGCTATCGATATACCAGGCTGAATAATCTTTGGAAAAAGCCCTTTAGGTTGGAATTTCCTGACTTCTTAGTAGTTCTTACTGGCATGTGGTAAAGCATATATTTCCAGAAGTTCTTGTTTGGAGAAGCAGAAATAGAAGACTTCCAGGTAATGACTGGTAAAATTCGAAGAGCTTTCTTCACTACTGGAGGCAAAGTCTCTGGCTCTTGAAAAGTCTGAACCTTTATTAATATCAGTTTGATCTTCTTGTCTTCCAACACACAGTTCACCGCTGTCTGCAGTTCAAAGACACTTGGTCCGCTGACATAGGCTGGGCTCAAAATAATTATTGCTCGTCTGCTTTGTTTAATAGCTGTAACAACTTCGTCTGTGTATGCTGGAGAAGAAATGACAGAGGTTACTTCATTTCTATAATGGGCTTTTAACCTTAACAGTTCCTTTGTCAGCAGCTAAAATCCAGAAATAAGGAAGACAAAAACAAAAGGGATGCTGAGCGATCACATAACCTCTAGAAATGGGTTTACTACAGGAGGTTATCACAAACATTCTTACGCAGCTGGGAGAACACAGCTTGCTAGTCAGGAGGTGGAAGGCAGAGCTGAGACATCAACACACTTTGTTGCTACTTAGACAGGGTCTCAGGCGACACTTGGACTTGCCTTTGTCTCACTCAGGGACAAGTACCAAGAGTTTTCTAATTACTGCAGGTAGCACTGACTCAAGTTACTCAGAAAGTAACTACTGAAATATTTGGGGTCTTATGTTCAGGGAACAGAATCTACTTGCAAATAAATTCTTGGACAAGAAGCTTTGTTTCAGCCTAGTCGCTCCTCAGTGACCACACTCCGGCATGTGTGTGCCCCAGGTGCAGGGGCCAAACATAGAATCATAGAATGGCCTAGGCTGGAAGGGACCTTAGAGATCATTTTAATCCAGCCTCCCTGTCACCAGGGACACCACCTCTCAACTAGATCAGGCAACACATGGGGATCGAACGGGAATCGAACCCGCGACCTTGCCATTGTTAGCGCCATGCTCAACTGACTGAGCTAACCAGCGTTGCTGTCAACACATGATAAGATTTGAGCAGAAACACCACTTGCAATTTTATTAAGAACTGATGATTTTCTACCATCCACAGGGACCTTACCTCCTCCTGGAAGAATATCTCTTTCAAGAATGCACAGCCTATATCCATATTTATTTTCCAGAATGTCTGGAAGAAGCTCCAGAGCAAATTTTTCCTCACTAATGAGAGCAGAGTCACTTTCAGAAGAGTCCAGTTTGGCATAGGATACAAATGCATCAAATTCTTTGCCATCTAAAATAAATAAATAAGGAACACTGTATACATTAACAATGTATGAAGCATTCAGCTTCCTTCTTAATTCTCAATTTCCATTTATAACTATTTAATGGGCACCACATAAACCTAAAATTATGACCTATTCATGAAGTACACCTACCTAGTTACCCAAAGCCAAGCCTTACTCCTCACTGTCTTACAAATTTTGCAGGTACACACTACCAAAGCAAAAGAAGAAGCTACAGATTACTAGTGCGAAGAAGTTTAAATCAGGCATTTTCCTGTATTTTCACAAACATGGTCCACTTTTCACCAGTGGAACATCTGGCCCCTTCCAGGCAAAATCCATGTTGGAGGGAACAATTACCAATATTTTCTCTCATTTGCTCAGCTGTTTAGTATAGAGTCCTACTGCAGAGTAAGCTGAGAATCTCTCTAGATTTCACCATATTGTCTACAACTTCACTGCATGTAGATAGACCCTTCTATACAGCACAGGCATCTAAATAACGGTGTTGAATATCACCCTGTGCTTCAGTGTTAGCCTCCTGATTCCTGTCCCTAGATGTAAGAATAGGATCACAAACCTTGAGCTAGACCCATCAGGTTCCCACAGGATCTAGAAGCGTCAATATGGATTCCAGAGAGAAAAAGAAACATATGTGGAAAGCTAATGACATTCTTTTGCTGAGGATGTCAACTACACTCAGAACCAGCATGTGGCACAAAGTATGTCATCAACATATAAGTGTGCAATTTTGGTTTAGAGGCCAAAGATGTGATTAGACAATACACGTTGCATCTCAGCTCCTCCCCTCTGCTCCTGGTTACACGCTTCCACCACTTCCTTCTGCTGGTGCTGAAGCTCTTGTGGTAACAGAGGAAGCTGATTCACTTTGCTCGCTACTCACTGCCTTTCACTGAGTTATTGTTCTGCCATGCTGAGCCAATTTGGGCCCACAGGGGTGAATCACCAACAGCAGGCACGCAGCAGTAGTGTGAGACTTGAAGGTGGGGCAATGGGTCACCAGGTTGGTTTAGCTGA